GCATTTTAAAAAAAAATCTAATAAATAAATTAAAAAATATTTTTAAAATCCAGTCTCAATACTTGCAGAACAGAAGACGTATATGTACACCAAAGATATGTGAGTCATGATGTGGTTGAACCAGGCACTCCTCAATTTTTGGGTACGTAGAGTTATTGGAGTTACTGATTGGTACCACCTTAAAGTAAAGCTCGTTTATTTGTCTATATTTTGATGAAAAAAAAATACCCGTCTATCTTGAATAGAAGTCGAGATATTAATTTGAGGTTGAAATGGAAGGACGTGGCGGTCATCTGGTTTGAGAAGAGGAAAAATTAGTGGGAAAATGGCTGCCAAAGTTTGGTGACTTACATATTAGCTTGAAAGTTCTCGGAAACTGAAAATTTACAATTTATGTGCTTTTTAATCGACATGTTTTAGTATAATCCACAAAGGCGTATTTTTAAAGGGCTAAACGGTATTGAGCCAAAAAGCAAAATTTGACAAAAAATGGTCAAACTGGCGAAAAAATGCAGGTTTCTTCGATTTTATCATTTCGACGAGCACCTGTATTCACCATGGTGCCTCACATATATTATTACTTGGTACCTATCTCATACCAACTGCTCAGAGAGAGACTCCATCATAATACATCCCTTTTACAAATAACATATTTGGCAGAGTCTTACAATTAGCAGTGGAAAAGGCTGAAAGAGAATCAATAACAATGGAAAAAAGCAGCCCAAATTTGTCACTGCCTCTCCATACACAGAACATGTCATGACTGGGCAAAGAACACAGAAACAATGGAACCTATTCACGAGTGCACATAATTACAAACTTTTAAAATATTCTAAAATTCTATCTACCACCAGCTGCTCAAATAAACCATTAAAATGGGGAGCACACTGAAAAAAGTATGCACTACAATACTGCTACTGTCATTTCATTGACTGAAAACAAGACAGAAATCTCACCTGAATAACCAAAAAACAATACATAAAAATCTTCCACAAACATTTCAAAATGTCTTTTTTAAAGACAAAAACATGTAAATAATTAATTAAGCAAGAAAACTCATTATGCCACCAGTAACATTCAAAATCACCACAAAAAGTAATGGGAACGAAACACTGATAAAAAAGGAGTAGTTGATGTAAGACACACAGCTTCATTCAAACAGACCGGGAAATATGTCACAGAAACATTTCACAACTTGGAGAAAAGGAAAAACCCTGGGGGTGAGACCACAGGACAACTGGCCCACCACAGCAATGTGTGACATCACTTACAAAACCTTTATCAAACTTTTAAAAAGTAGTCACAAAAAAAAATTGAATAGTATTTTGTTCCACATCATAAAGATTTTCAGAGTTACAGCAAGGGTAGTTTCAAACCAGTAAATATACATAGTAGAGATTAGAAAACAGATTTTCACTACAATCCATCTCACATTTACTACCAGCTCAAGCAGTGAGATAAAATTAGCCTTTAGAACATAGAAAATACTGTAACATGCATGATGAGAGACAATTTTGATCACAGGTGTCAAACTCAAGGACATGAGGCCGCATCCAGTCCTTTGACCTTAAGTTCTGGACTTCTCTAGCAGTAGATGATAGAAAATGTTTCACAGCCCATTTGGCACAATTTAGAATATGGAAAAGCGGCGATTTTTTCATTTAGATGCTAGGCTATTAGATGTCTCCATTTAAAAAGAAAGATTAAAAATGTACTGCAAGTTAATTAACTCCTTATCTCCCGGAACCGCTATGCCGGTGTGCCGCTGGCAGTGGCTCAGGCACAGTCCTATATGGTGAGTTAGATATTAATTTACTTTTCGGCAATTGCTTAAAACAGGATTTTTTAAAGGGAATTTTTTTATTAGAATAAGAACTATCAAAATAGGTAAAATTTGTTTCAAATGAATGAACAATTTAGAGAGGTATTGTCATTTTTAGATTTCATACCAAAAGAAGGATCCGGCATAGACGGTTTACCTACCTTGGAGATAAAGAGTTAATAGAGAACCGGTCAAACACAGGAGACAGGGAAGTAAGACTACACTAGAGGCTACTCCAGTCTGTTTCTGGGTAGCCATCGTACAGTGCGTTGAACAGGGTGCAGAAGGCGAAGAAGGCGAGGAAGAGGGCCAAGGTCACCCAGCCCAGCGTGCGCTCCCAGGTGAGTCGATTGATGTTGCGCAGGATCACAACTCCCAGGAAAACACCTGTTGAGAAGAAACAGATTGTATACCAATGCACTCATTTTAACACTTTTAGTGCCATCTGCGACTTTTGTCACCAGGCCTGTTGGGTGCACTCTTTCTAAACCCTCACTGATGTAATCAAAATTATTTGTGAGGAAGGCTGACAATATGTGAGGCAGCGAGGTGGAATCAAGCTCTCGTCAATTTTTGGGCTTGTAGAGTTATTGGTATCACCGTAAAGCTTGTTCACTTGTGTTTTTTTGGATGAAAACAATATCCATTTACCTTGAATACAAGTCGTGATATTTGCGAATGAAGGAGGTGGGGGTCAGCTGTTTTCAGAGGTAGAATTAGTGTGAAAATGGCCACCAAAGATTAGTTATTTCCTTAGCTTAAGAGTCCGTGGTAACTGAAAATTTACATTTTTTGTGCCTTTAATCAACGTTTTTCAGAAAAATCCACACAGAAATGAGTTCTTTAATGGGCATGAAAGGTGTTGAGCAAAAAAACAAAAATTTGATAAAATTCACAAACCAACAGAAAAAAGCAAGTTTCTTCACTTTGATTATTTTGACGAGAGCCTGATTCCACCACACTGCCTCATAAATTATTTGTGAGGAATGCTGACAATGTGAGTTACTCCTCAGATTTAGCTCTAAGGACAAAGTTATATCAAATCTGTAGGTTGAGTACGTACAATTTATTAGAATGAAACAATAAAACCTAAAAAAAAGGTATTAGTTTAAAATATATACAAATTTGCCCCCTGTATTGATTTTCGACTGATAATTCCATTTAAATGTTTGACCTATAAACACACAATCCATGGATACTTTTCAAGATACACCATGACAGGGTCGAATAGTTCATTCACAGCACCGTAATACAGTGTCAAAATTAGTTCATTCACATTACTTTCATACAGTGTCAGATAGTTCATACACCATGACAGTGTCAAATAGTTTACACCCATCACTATACCTGATAATTCCATTTAAATTTTTGACCTATAAACACACAATCCATGGATACTTTTCAAGATACACCATGACAGGGTCGAATAGTTCATTCACAGCACCGTAATACAGTGTCAAAATTAGTTCATTCACATTACTTTCATACAGTGTCAGATAGTTCATACACCATGACAGTGTCAAATAGTTTACACCCATCACTATACCTGATAATTCCATTTAAATTTTTGACCTATAAACACACAATCCATGGATACTTTTCAAGATACACCATGACAGGGTCGAATAGTTCATTCACAGCACCGTAATACAGTGTCAAAATTAGTTCATTCACATTACTTTCATACAGTGTCAGAATTAGTTCATTCACATTACTTTAATACAGTGTCAGATAGTTCATTCCCATTACTTTAATACAGTGTCAGATAGTTCATTCTCATTACTTTAATACAGTGTCAGATAGTTCATTCACATTACTTTAATACAGTGTCAGATAGTTCATTCACATTACTTTAATACAGTGTCAGATAGTTCATTCACATTACTTTAATACAGTGTCAGATAGTTCATACACCATGACAGTGTCCAATAGTTTACACCCATCACTATACCGCACTGACAGATAGTTCATTCACATTACTTTCATACAGTGTCAGATAGTTCATTCACATTACTTTCATACAGTGTCAGATAGTTCATACACCATGACAGTGTCAAATAGTTTACACCCATCACTATACCTGATAATTCCATTTAAATTTTTGACCTATAAACACACAATCCATGGATACTTTTCAAGATACACCATGACAGGGTCGAATAGTTCATTCACAGCACCGTAATACAGTGTCAAAATTAGTTCATTCACATTACTTTCATACAGTGTCAGAATTAGTTCATTCACATTACTTTAATACAGTGTCAGATAGTTCATTCCCATTACTTTAATACAGTGTCAAAATTAGTTCATTCACATTACTTTCATACAGTGTCAGATAGTTCATACACTATGACAGTGTCAAATAGTTTACACCCATCACTATACGCCACACTGACAGATAGTTCATTCACATTACTTTAATACAGTGTCAGATAGTTCATTCACATTACTTTAATACAGTGTCAGATAGTTCATTCACATTACTTTAATACAGTGTCAGATAGTTCATTCACATTACTTTAATACAGTGTCAGATAGTTCATACACCATGACAGTGTCCAATAGTTTACACCCATCACTATACCGCACTGACAGATAGTTCATTCACATTACTTTCATACAGTGTCAGATAGTTCATTCACATTACTTTCATACAGTGTCAGATAGTTCATACACCATGACAGTGTCAAATAGTTTACACCCACCACTATACACCACACTGACAGACCGTTCCTTCACCCCGACAGCGTATGCCTGTGGTCTCAACTCACCTGCCAGGAACCCACCTATGTTCAACTCACCTGCCAGGAACCCACCTATGTGAGCGGTGACACCCACTTTGAAAACGTCAGGTTCCGTCACACGTCTGTAGATGGCAAGTGCTGTGTCCGGCACAACTGGACAGTCATGAAAAAGGGTATGTTAGGATATAGTGCAAACCAAAGAAATGATTTACCCATGAGCTGAACACCCTTAGAAACTTGTAAGGCTATTGAACTGTTTAAGTACTGAGGCGTTACTATCTGTGTTTGTACATACAAAATAAAATGTTCACTCAAGAGAAATTCATACAAAGCCACAATATCTTTTCCTTTATTAACAATATTCTCGTCTGAATCATATTTTTGTAGATTTTATGGGCACCTGTGTAAAATGTTTTTACTGACCCTACAAACGGGCTTAGCTCCATTATAATAAGATGAAACTGAACAAATAGCAATGATATCTTCTAAAACGTTCTCTAAACACCAGCACAGAAAATGGCAGTGAGCCAGTTTTTTAGTTTTCAAAAGAGTTCTGCAGCACTTGTAATACAATTGGTTGTGCAAGTGCTGAAGATTAGATGTGTTACAAGACGGTAACAAACACAAAAAATAAGGTTTTTTTAGTTTAGTAGAGGTTTTTCGGCGCTTGCAACTGCATAAGGTCATATGAGCGCCAGAAGATTAGAGGTGTTACAAGAGAGTAACAAACATAAAAAAGATGAAGGGGAGATAAGGACGATAGATGTTTGATAGGAAAGAAGAAGCAAACCACACCAGAGCACCCGCCAACCACCCACTCACACAAAAAAGAAGGAGAAGTAAGAACGATGAATTTTTGATAGACCACACCACAGCATCCGCCCACCATAAGAATGGTAGTAGTACATGTATCTGCTAACATCTGATAAAAATGATAGTATGTCGTCGCCTGGGATAAGAATGGTATTAGAATCATATTATGTCCTCATCTCAGATAAGAATGATTATATGTCGTGGGTCGTGTGACTGGAAAAAGGTCCTAGCTACCTGAAATTTTGGATATGAATATAAGGGCACATTTTTGTAGCAAATTCAAAGTTGAACTCGTTGATTTTTAACAAGTTCAAATATATTGAGTAGTTTTAAAGATATGCTACATTTTGTAACACAGGGTGTGAAAACAAAGTTTGGAGAAAAACTCAATTTCTGGCACATTTTTAACCTTAGGTCAAAAATCAATTTTTTAAAAATATTTATATAATCCTTTCGATATGCTATTTATGCTATTAAGAAATCGTTTATTAAATGTGTATTTTCAGATGGAAATAAATTTCAGACCAGGTACGACAATTTTTCCCTTTTTCACCCCGTTGCTCAAAAATAGTTTTGCCGAAAACTGGGCATTTTCTCCAGGCACACACACATAATATGTCCTCACCTAGGATAAGAATGATAGCCAACCGGACGGGAGCACTGAGCAGAATGCGAGAGATGCCACAGCACATGTCATCGTCCAGCTCGTCCGGGTCCATACACCGGTAGTTCATCTCACGCCAGTTCTGAAATACACAACGAGCCACATACATTTACAGCAGCACATCAGAGTTTGTTTTAGTAGAGGTATTATGGCGCTCACAACTGCATAAGGTCATATGAGCCCCAGAAGATTAGAGGTGTCACAAGAGAGTAACAAACATAAAAAAGGAGGGGAGATGAGGACGATAGGAAAGAAGAGGCAAATCACACCAGAGCACCAGCCAACCACTCACACATCAGAGTTTGAGATTAAACACAACATCTGTTAAAATATTACACATCTATCTTGAATAAGAGTCGAGATATTTGCAATTGAAGGATATTGCGTTGCTTGGTTTCACACGTAAAATTAACGAGAAAATGGTCGACAAAGTTTGGTGACTATCAAAGCTTGAGAGTCCTTAGAAAAAACAAATTTACATCTTTCGTGCCCTTGAACAAGAATATTCAGTACAATCCACACATGAATGTGTTTCTAAATGGACACTAAAGATGTTGAGCCAAAACAAGAAAATTCGAAAAAAATTGCCAAATGTCCATAAAAATGCAGATTTCTTTGATTTCGTTATTTTGACGAGTGCCTGATTTCACCATGATACCTCTCAATAAACAACAAACTTCACAACATCATGCCCACACTGGGTCCACGAAAACTTTCGGGCCTCCCCAGAAGAAGAGACGGAGTCATTTTTACTCCTTACGCATCAGACACACCTCCCTGATGAGAAACCGTTCCGGGTCTGATGCGAAATAGATTATACTACTTGACACACCTTAACAGAATGTCCAGACTTTGGAGAGACCTGAAGGAAATATTTTAAAAACAAAAACTGCAAGATCTGCTTTCGGTCAATGATCCCAACAGAATTCTCAGTTTTATAAAGGCATTGGCCTTTACGATAAATTGTAAATAACGTGAACATTTTTAATGTTATTCTAAACTAAGAATTATTTAACCACGAATTTTTAGCATTTTAAATAAAAATATTGACCAGAATCCAAGCTGAGCTGTGAAATGTTGTGAATGAAACCAACTCATATTTCGTGTGCTCATATGAACTTATGCAGTAGCGAGCGCCGTGAAACTTTTACAAACTAAACTAAAAAAAAAACCCAACCCCAAAGCACACACACTGAGGGACCCCTCAACACGTACACTCACTACTCACTATAATGATTGCTGCTACGTGGGCCCCAAGGATGGCGTAGACACCTCCACTGGCTCCCACCAGCCCCACATTATGGTCACTCACGGAATGGGCCAGACAACCTGTGGAATACAAGCGCAATATTATTATTGTTATTTCTATTATTTTCATTTTATTATTTTCTTGTCCCTTGCCTATTTCTATGAGATTGACGTCATCTGATTAGAAGAAAAAGATGCTTTTGATAGTGTCCAATAGTGTAATACGTACATAATTCTTATGTTTGTTTGTTTTAGTAGAGGTTTTACGGCGCTCGCAACTGCATAAGGTCATATGAGCGCCAGAAGATTAGAGGTGTTACAAGAGAGCAACAAACATAAAAAAGAAGAAGGGGAGATAAGGACGATAGACGTTTGATAGGAAAGAAGGAGCAAACCACACCAGAGCACCTGCCAACCCCCCACACATAATTCTTACGATATATAACTGTTACAGATAAAGATTCAAGGACAAGTGTTTTATTGTATGTGAGAGGAAGTTAGGCAGCAGCATAACAAGGAAAGTGTTGGATTGGAATTGACAGGGTAAAGGATCAAGGGGATGACCACTTGTTTTAGTTTTTAGTAAGTGTTTTACGACACTTGCAATACAAATAAAGTCATATAAGTGCTGAAGATTAGAGATGTTACAAAAGAGTAACAAACACAAAAAAGAAGGAGGGGAGATAAAGACGATAGATGTTTGATAGGAAAAAAGAAGCAAACTACACCAGAGCACCTACCAACCACCCACGAAGAAGACCACTTGGAACCAGGAGAAGAGTCACAGAAATTGATGTACAAGACAGAGGGAAGACATGGAATAACATCACAAGGCTAGCTCAGGATGGTGAAAGGTGAAAAATGTTTGTGGCTTATTATACACCGGGGTGAGAAAGGCAATGATGATAATAATAATAATAATTGCATTTATATAGCGCATATCCATGCTCAAGAGCATGCTCTATGCGCTTTACAACTATTATGACCCCAGCAGACCCTCTGAGAACACTCAGAAACATTCTCAGCTTCCGAGGAAGCATACAGTGCAAGTTGCGGATTTCACGCGCTCAAACACTATCAAACTGACAAGATCTTTCACTGTCTATAGCCGGGTACCCATTTCCACCTGGGTGAAGTGAGGAAAATTAGTGCAAAGTGCCTTTCCCAAGGACACAACGTCAGGCCCCTGATGGGATTCGAACCCACGACCTTACGGTTGCGAGTTCGAGAGCCTAACCGATAACCATGATAATGACTGCATGTGAGGTGTGCTGACAAAATGAGTTACTTCTCGGATTTTAGCCCTATAGACACAGACACACTAAATTTATAGGTCATTTGTACAATTTGTAGATGACAACAGACACGTTGAACTTGAAGAAAACGGCATGATTTGAGAATTTACACATTTGACCCCATGTCAATTTTTGGACAATATCTCCATTCGAGGATAGTGAGAAGTAACTCATTCTGTCGGTGCACGTAACATATAATAAGTGTCATGTCATAGTGGAGTCAGGCACTTGTCAATTTTTTGTTTAGTTTTAGTAGAGGTTTTTCGGCGCTCGCAACTGCATAAGGTCATATGAGTGCCAGAAGATTAGAGGTGTTACAAGCGAGTAACAAACATAAAAAAGAAGGGGGGTAGAAAAGGATGATAGGTGTTTGATAGGAAAGAAGGAGCAGACCACACCAGAGCACCCGCCAACCACCCGCGTCAATTTTTGTGCAAGTGGAGATATTGGTATCATCTTAAGGCTCGTTTATTTGTCTTGCTTTCAATGAAAAAAAAATACTCATCTATCTTGAATAGAAGTCATGATATTCACGACTGAAGGAGGTGGGGGGGAGTCTGGTTTTCAAGATATAATTAGAAAAGAAAATGGTCCCCAAAGTAAGGTGTCTTGCGAGTCCGTGGAAACTGCAGAATTACATTTCTTCATCCTTCAATTGATGTTTTTCAGTAAAATCCAAAAAGAAATGTGGTTTAATAGACAGAAAGGCGCTGTGCCAAAAACCAAAAATTTGATCAAAATTGCCATTTATATGAGGGATAAAATGCTAGTTTCTATGATTTCATTGCCTTGACGAGCACCTGATTTTACCACGCCATCTCACATTTACTGATTCTACAGAGACATCACATATGCATGAGCGCACACACATACGCACGCATGTTAGCAAGCATGCATGCACACACACACACACACACACACACACACACACACACACACACACACACGCATGAACACATACACACCTTTGTGTATGTTTTTTATAACTATAATAATCAGCAGAC